TTTTGAATAAACTGACGCCCAACTGTTTAGTCTCGCTTTGATTCCTATAAGCTTATATGAAGATGCGCACATTCGGTTTTTAGTTGCGAAAGAAAACAGTTGAATGGGCTGCGAAACAATCGACAATCGCACAACGGTTGTGCGATAGTTGAGTCAAAGATGTGCGTCTACTTTTAATAGACGTTCATTCTCTTCAAAGCTCTAACTTTAACTATATTCCTTTTAACTAAGTTACAAAATTTAACATTATCAAATTATAAGAGAAACTTAGAGCGTACGTTCGAGAAATTTTATACGAAAGCGTAAGAAGTTAAATTAACTTTGAGTCGAAATAGTTTTACCTGGAGAACTTTAGAGACCTAAATGTTGTATAATTTTAGTTTAACCGTGAGTTTACACTGCGTTAAGAAAGGACACTATTATAGTTTATTTAAAATCAGTGATTTTGTTGAAGAGATGCAATTGTGAAAGCCACGCTTAATATATCACCAATCCTGTTTCTTATTTCGATGTTTCCTTAAATGTTCCAGTGGAAACTCTAACTGTTTAAAATTAAAGCAATTATGCATCTGACTGAACAAAATTATATTAAGTATATATAACATAAAAATAAACAGAAGAATTGAGTACCTCCTTTTGGGGAGTCGTCAAAAACCTACGTAAATTTTTTACAAGCGTCTATTTTTATAAAATCAGCAATATTTTTATCTTAATTGCTTTCATAATACAGACAAGTCGAGGGGATTTTTTCTTATCGTGATATATATAAAATATCGAAATAACTTGCTATCTTTACGTCACGATATAGACAATAATATTATATGTACACTAAATCCTATTTATAATATAACAATTGTAAAAAGAGTGGAATTTATAAGATTAATAAAAAAAATTAATTAAGAAACCAGTGCATCCAATAAAAAAATAACATCACTGGTTCCAATAGACAGTATTAGTTGTTGCTCGCGGCTTTCGTCCGCGTAAAATTAAAAGATAATACAAAATATGTTACTCACAGATAAATTACCTTTTTAACGGTGAAAGGATTTTTAAAATCGGCTTCTTAGTTTTTAAGGTATTTAAATACATATAAGAATACAAATCTTTCCCCTTTATAATATTAGTATACTCGTAGATTAAAACAACCCAGACATGTATAGGAACATGTATCCATCCCTTTCATTCGTATTAAAAGTCAGAGATAATACGAACTCACGTTTTCGTTTTAATTTTATTAATTTATAATCTATATTTTTGCTGTCATTCTGGACTTTTCTATTTGCCGTCCGTCGCCAGCAGAGTTGGTTTTCCATTAAAGTTTTCAATTAAGCGGTTCGTTGATATAACATTGAGCTAGTCAGTTGCAATACTGTTCATCGGATGCAATATACTTTTTTGTTTTTTTTTAATTGTCACTTTTTTCACACAACCGCTATCAATATTTTCACGGAATTGTATTCATAACCGTGAATCTCCAATGCCTAAAGATTTAAAATACAAAATGCTAAAGCCATTTTAGTAAACTACACAAAATCAGCTTGTATATCACAAAGAGTAACACTATGGGATTAGCATATTATAATATACTAGCTTTTGACCTCTACTCCGTCCGCGTGGAATTAAAAAAAACCAAAGTGAGTAGCCTATGTGTTCTTCCAGACTATCCTCTAGATTTGTACCAAATTTCATCGAAATCCGTTCAGCCGTTTATGCTACAAACTCCAACAAACGTCCTAACTACTAACAACTAAACTTTCGCATTTATAACATTAGTATGATAAGTATATCAGTCTTAGTTTTTTCATAACTTAAACATACGTCAACCTTTTTTTACCTTGACTAACGTTGCGCATTTTTTAACAAATCATGACTATTGAACCATTATGCGTAGGCTTGCGAAATGCAACCTTAACATTTAAATATTAAAGTACTTATACGGAAAGCAGTGTTACATTTGACGGAAGATATAAAAACGTTGACGTTGACGTGAAACGATCGTTATAATAGTGTTTAACTAAACAATATTTAACTACTTTTTCGCGATATAAAGAACCGAGCTGTTGTCCGCAACTTCGTTCGCGTGTTATAAGAAAACATACGAACTATATGAATTACAAAAAACTATTTATCCCTCGGGAACCGGACATATCTCGGGGATGAAGCTTATCCCATGTGTACTCCAGACTTTGTTTTATATCTGTGCCAAATTTCAATAAGATATGTTGAACCGTTGCAGAATGATCGAGTAAACATTAAAAACTAAATGAATGAATTCCACGGGAACCGTAACTATTCCCGGGATAAAAAGTAGCCTATGTGTTCTTCCCGACTATGCTCTAAACTTGTGCCAAATTTCATGGAGATCCGTTCAGCAGTTTAGGCTACAAGCGCTAACAAACATCCATCTATCCATCCATCCATCTAAATTTTCGCATTTATAATATTAGTAAGAAGTAAGATAGTAAGATTGCTTTACTCAAAATAAGGATAGTTTAAGTTGATATAAGTTTTAAACAAGTCTTTAGCAGTAAATATGTACAAAAACAGTAAAAAAGTGCAGAAGAAGTGATGACTTATTTTGGGCAGTAGTTAAAAACGTGTTCAAAAATAAGGAAATAAATTAAAACATCGTAGCGTATTTCTGTAACTTTTATCTATAATGAAAACTAGGTTTGTTCTTGTAATATGAAAATTTATTGCAGGGAAATTTCGCATTCGTGGAAGCTTGATAAATGGTTGTCCGGAATTCTCATGAAAACTCCAGACTTAAATGTGTTACGTGGACATTTTTGTGTACATTATTGTGTTTGTCCTACTTACATTAAGTCCAACTACTATAACATAGATCTTGTCATCTTTATCATTTACATTGAAAAAAAAGAGATAGCAATACAATGAGGTGTTAGAGAAAAATTGATTCAATTAACAAAAACCCGCCCAATAATTCTGGGTTTCTAAAGTTTCCGTTTATTTTATCATTACTATTGATTCTTTAGTGTTAAGTTAACCTAAGTTTCAACAGAGTAAAACTCAAGTTACTTAGCTCAGAAACGCATTTCATGAAATTATCGAACCAAAAAACACCAGCCGATCTTTAAATAAAGCTGGGAAACCGCCCATAAGTGGTGATATCTACACTTCCATACATCTCTATTAGCATATCTGAAATCACTCTCATACATCCAATTTCTAGACATAGGTAACTATAAGTGATGACAGAAATCAGCTCACGGTTCGTATATATGAAGCAGATTAGTGATCCGGCTCACAGATCAGTTCAATTTGTTCCTGCAGATGATTTACATGAATTGTGACTCACACGGCAGTTCGTGGCTCATCTGCTCTCTTGGTAATAGTATACGTTGAGCTGTGAGTTGATAGTAAGTTGTTGAGCTATAGCTCAATGGTAAAGTTATTTGAGCTGTTGAATCGACTCAGAGCTGATTACACGCAATACTTTCTTCTGTCCTCTGTCCTTTGTCATTGCTTTCTTACTATTCTTTACTTAGGTGTCATGATTTCTCAATTTCTCTAACATTACTGTATCGTATACAAGCTTTCGCCCGCGACTCTGTCTGCGTAATTAAAGAAAAACAAAAGTAAGTAGTATAAGTGTTCTTACAGACTATCCTGTACATCTATGGCTTTTATCGAGATCCGTTTTTGGAAACTACATACTAACAAACATGCATTTAAAGTTTTATCTATACTCTATACTATTATAATAAAGCGTAAACACAAACTTCTTTGTTGCCTAAGATGTCAGCAATTGCTGACCGTAATTACGGCATATTTTTGAATAATTCTTTTTTAATATAAAGCCCTACAATTACGTCACTCTTAAGGCTATAAGTTTTGAAAAAAAAAACTCTAATGTGGGAAAGAGACCTTAAGTTGCTGCTAACATCAAGGAAGCAAGGTTGTCATCATGTAATGTCATTTTGACATTTGCAATTGATAATTTGACACAGGTAAACAATAAAATATTCATAATTTTATGCAGATGAAGTCGCACGGTAACAGCTATTATTTATAATATTAGTAAGATTTAATTACGTATATCAAGGTTAGATCTTGAAGTGAATTACATATATCAAATTGTGCAACAGATAGTGTATTAAGGAGCCGATACAATACTTACTGATAACCAATCCATCCATCTTGATAGCGATCTATCTAAAATTATAACAAAACAATCCGCTGATTTTATCTACACGCGGTAGTTTTTAGCTACCTTATCTGTAGATATATTGTAATCATTTATTAATACACTAATTTCTTTACTCGACTTCGTTTGTATAAACTTCCTTTTTTCTGTAAAGAAGTAAATACATAACGTAATTTACTTTTATTTTTATACTGCGACAAATTTTAATCAATTGGATTATTCTCTCTACTTGGAGCTTTGTCTATACTATTATAATAAAGCGTAAACACACACTTCTTTGTTGCCTAAGATGTCAGCAATTACAGCACATTTTTGAATAATTCTTTTTTTAATAAAAAGCCTTACACTTACGTCACTCTTTAGACTATATATTTTCACGCCATTAAACTTAGGAGGTAAATATTTTGGATAAAAACACTAATGTGGGAAAGAGACCATAAGTTGCTGCCAACATCAAGGAAGCAAGATTGCCAAGTTTTGTCATGTCATGTCATTTTGACATTTGCAATTGACAGTTTGACAGATGTAAACAAGAAAATAAATTTTTCATATTTCCATGCGGATAAAGCCGCACGGGAACAGCTAGTGTTTTAATAAATTCAAAAAACTGTTATCCTAAGGTACAAATATAAATTTAGAAAAAAATATTGAATACATATAAATTCTTATGCATATTACCCGTATAGCCTTAAAATTAACCTTAACATCTTATTTATACAGCAAAATAAACGCAATATTATTTGTGTGACAAACAAACATACATACTTTCCAAATGATATAATTACTACGGACATTTAATTAAAATTGATTCGAACTGTGTTCGAAGTTTTTTCGTGACTGTGAAAATGGCGGTCAAAGTGTTAGCACTTGTTTTGGCTCTCGCTGTATCCATTAATGGATACCCAAGTCATGGATTCAAATATCAATGTGGTTAGTAACATATTTATCATACTAATATTATAATTGCGAAAGTTTAGATGGATGGATAGATGTTTGTTAGAGTTTGTAGCATAAACGGCTGAACGGATTACAATGAAATTTGGTACAGATGTAGAGGATAGTCTGGAAGAACACATAGGCTACACACTTTTGTTCTTTTTTTTTTTTCAATTTCACGCGAAGGGAGTCTCGGGCGAAAGCAAGTTATGCTATAAAAGTAAAAAAGGATGTTATTTGTTTTTTTAATAGCGACGTAGGATCGTGTTTTGTTTTTCGCCTTTTCAAATTTCTTTCTTGTTGATTCTACATTCATACGCATCTGTTAAGAGTGTTCATTGCAAGTGTCGTAGAACTGTTCAATTCAGGAAAGGAAACTGGATATGACGGTAGAGGAGTCGCATAGGAAGGGGAAATATCCTCTTTATGTGTATCCTCTGTCGATTAAGGGTAGGCAACTTATCTGCAATTACCAGCGGTTTCAGGTGACCACTTGCTCGTTTGCCAGCTGAACAATATTAAGAAAAATCAAATTAATATGTATAATTCCTTTCAATATAGTTTCTTAGTTTCACAATACATGTTATGTAATTTTTTCATCCATCGACTGTTTACTTAAAACCGAAAGTCAAAAATTTAGGAACATTTATTCGTTTTAGACAAACGCTCCAAACTTACTCCTGGTAGCAAAAGCGATTATTTTAATTTTCAACTTCCCACGGTAACGATAAGTTTAAACAACCAATATTCGACACTTTTTCAATCATCATATCATCATCCAATGATTGAAATCGCGCGAATCTAATTGTTGATGACTTTATTGTAATTTATTGCTTTATATCCATAACTGTTTTTTCCAGTACCCAAAATCAACACTATACCATTAGTATCAAGAGATGATTGGGGCGCACAATCACCTAGTTACATCACCAACCTAACCCTGCCAGTGCCGTATGTGATCATCCACCACACGTATGAACCCGGCGCATGTTATTCGCTGCAGGATTGTTCGCGAGCCATGCGGTCAATGCAGACCTACCATCAAGCAACACAAGGATGGGCTGACATCGGATACAAGTAACACGCAATCATTATCACCAGCTCAAGTCTCCACTAAGGGCTTGCAGCTTACTCTAAAATATAGATGACTAGGCCATAGACAATCACACTGGCCAATTGTAGGTTGCCTTCACACATATCTTTGAATTTATTCACAGATGTGCAGGCATCACGATGTTTTCCTTCACAACGTTAGGTAAATGTTCATGTGAAATTCAAAAATAACATTGGTATGTGACGGGATTCGAACACAGGACTTGTAGATGTCAAGTGCTTAAACCCCTGAGCCATCGTAGTTCCATAACAATCCGTAAAATAACAGTACAGTTCTTTAAAGATCTATTACTCTAGATGAATTAAAATTGTCCAGATTGCTTAATAGAGAAATATTAAGAACACCCGGAATCGAGTTGCATGACGTCATGTAGATGTAAAAAGAGGAAATGGAATCTTCTAGAACCACGCCAATTAGAAATTCATAGTCTCTTCCTACTGTTTTTTACTTAGTTCCAAGCGTTCACAAGTAGTTACTTGTTTTATCAATTGTGAAATTAAAACTATAAGAATTGTTTAATAAATTAAGGAGTAAAAGATTAGAGTGGTATGGGCATGTTATGAGGAGGGATGAATCGCATGTAACAAGAAGAACGTTAGTTATGACTGTGGATGTACACCGGTAGAGGTAGACCTAGAAAGAGATGGATTGCGTGGATGGTGACATCGAGAACGGAGTGATGACTGAGAAGACGGATGATAGAGTTCTTTCGAGGACGAAAACCCGGTGCGCCGACACTACGGGAGTAGACTAGAGTAGACACTAGTAGAGTAGTAGTACGGGGTTGATGAATGATGAATTTATCAATAACATCCAAAACTTGACGTTAATAAAATTCTATATTTAGTCGTGGATATTGCTAAAATAAGACAATTTACAGTTTCGCAGTGGGAGGCGACGGATCTATTTACGAAGGTCGCGGCTGGAAGGCAGTTGGGGCGCACGCAGCGGGGTATAACTCTGTCAGCATTGGCATAGCACTTATTGGAGATTTTGTCTGTAAGTATTGAAAATAACACACAAAAGTTGTATGTGATTTCAATATTATAAATGCGAAAGTTTAGATGTTTGTTAGAGTTTGTAGCCTAAACCGCTAAACGTATCTGGATAAAATTTGGCACAGATGTAGAACATAGTCTGGAAGATCACATAGGATACTTACTTTTGTTTTTTTGATTCCACACGGACGGAGTCGCGGGCAACAGCTAGTATTTAATAATTTGATCCAATATATGAATCATTTTAGTTTAGCAACATTGATATTATATACTTTGTGACATCCCATGTCTTATTTCAGCTGAACTGCCACCAGCACACCAATTGGAATTAACAAAAGAATTGATATCATTTGGCGTGGAACAAGGATATATCAGTAAGGAGTATTCTCTGATCGGACACCGACAAGTGAGGAATACAGAGTGTCCCGGAGACGCGCTGTTCCAAGAAATTACAACCTGGGATAGATTCATCCCAACTGTCGATACAAACTGATTGAAAAATAACGGATTATTTGGCAATTAAATCTTATCAAAATAATGCTATTTATTTCTTATAAACAACTAATAAATCCCGAATTTAATTACACTAATAAAATTCCGGTTACAAGTTTCATTAAGGATTGGAGCTAAGCAAAAGCTATCATTTCGAAGCAAAAAACTATCCAAAACATCGATTTATGTAGTCAAAGATGGTACTGGTTTATTTTGTAAACTAGCTTACGCCCGCGACTCTATCTGCGAAGAAAAAAACAAAACCGAATAGCCTATGCGTTCTTCCAGACTACCCTCTACGTCTATGCCAAATTTCATCGAGATCCGTTCAGCTTTTTCGGCTAAAAACTCGAAAAAACATCCATGCATTAACTTTCGCATTTATAATATTAGGAAGTAATAAGATTAATAGATGGCGTTGTTGCCAAGATGTCTCAAGCCATTCAAAAATAAACAATAGACGGTAAACAAAGCAATTTATTCAATCCGCTCCAGCTGCCGAGCTCCGTCGCCTCGCTTCGCCTCGCCTCCAGTCAACGCCTGTCGTATTGCGCTCGTGTCGTCAAGACGAACACAACAGCTTAACACGCCTCGGAAACCTCGGGACGTTCCAAAACATAAATCACGATGCATGGAAGTACATCTCTACATTCCCACTTTTAAAACATTGTATTATTGATAAAATGTAATTTTATTTAATCTAAGTTAGGAGTAACATGGACATTACAGGAAAGTACACAGAAAGAACAAAGAAATACGACTTAGGGGCCTTCAAGAAGCGAACCTATCATTTCCTCAAAGGCCGGCAACGCATCTGTAGTTCCTCTGGTGTTGCGGATGTCCATGGGCGTCGTTGACCACCTCGGTGTTCACGCCGCTCGTTTGCCCCCTTTTTTTATAAAAAAAAAGAGGTTATTAACCTTTTGGATTAATCTTTTTTTTACTTAATTTTACGTGACTATATCTGCAATAGATTTCAATATCTTTAAATTAAGAAATAAATTGTAATTAAAATCAATTTACTTGTATCAAAAAAAGACAATTTAGGATGTCCTTTAAACGTTAATAGAGTGTCCTTTTAGAAGTAATAAATATTCATTAAAGATTTTTGACATAGAATTCTCTACGGTATTTCGAAGAGCTTCAAATATATAGAGAAGGCATAGACACTTCACTTGAAACGTTTTTCAAATAACCTCTATCTAATGTGAGATCCTCAAAACCACAAGTCAATATAAATAATTGTATTTAAATTAATTGTCAATAGATGGCGTACTAAACTGATATAGTACCTTACAGAGAAAGTACCGGTGAAAAATTTTTCAATATGCCTGGTCTATAAATTTTATAAAAATATAGGCTTAATTTAGGAAAAAAAATATAGGCTTTTTTGTCCTTCAAAACATTATTACTTAAAATCCGATGTGTCAGAATGATATTAGATTAAGTAGAAACATCAAAAGGGCCGCTTTCTCATTAAATTAATAATTATTTATATTTTAATTGGATTTAATATCGAAGCTTATGTATTAAATCTCATTACATAGCTTTAGGATGGGCCTAAAGCGAGCTCTTTCAAAGAGTGTCTTTATAAATGATGTCCTTTGAAAATTTCCCATGTAAATGTAATTTACTTTCTTTAGGGTGTTAAAAAATATCAAATTCACGAAACATGGATTTTTAACACGCTTTGATGTAAAAGATATATATAGAAAAAAATATATTTTTAATTTAGAGGTCACGGAAAACAGGAACTGCAAATGCAAAAATTATTAAACTAGCTTTTGCCCGCGACTCCGTCCGGGTGACATTAAAAAAACAAAAGTGAGTAGCCTATGTGTTCCTCCAGACTTTCATTTACGTCTTAGCCAAATTTCATTGAAATCCGTTCAGCCTTTTCGGCTACATACTCTAACAAACTTCCATACATCCATCTAAACTTTCGCATTTATAATATTACGTACATATGTTTAGTATGATAGGTACCTGTCCCATCACTGGCTGATAGAGGCTCAAATAGTTTAAAAATAACGTCACTGTCAGGTAACAAAATCCGATATTTCCATCACATATTTTACACGTTCGTTGTTATCAGACAACGATTTGGTACAGGCCATTAATGTTCAAAAATAATCAATTACGAACAAACTAAATACGTTTTAAGATATTTTCTACACTTACAAAGAGTTTTTTTAGACTGAATATAACGGTTAGACTGATTCCAAAAATTCTCTCGAAGACGACGATATTATTTTAATATTATTAACCTCGAATAAGTCTCCGGATATACGAGTAAACTGTGAAATTAATATTATTTAGCGAATTTGTAGCAAATAATGGACATTGAGAAGTCGACTGAGATTAGTTTAATTTGTAATAGAGTTAAGATGGCCGCCAATCGCCTCCAGCAATCAATTAGTATCCTTTGTAGTTAACGATGATTTGTGAGAAATTCGAGTCGTTAGACAACGAGTTCAAATGGAAAATTGACACCGAAGCCATTAGCGGCAGGTGTTGCGCTTTGTATAGAAATCTACGAAAGCGAATGCTATTCTAATTGTATTTTAAACTTGTTCGAAATTCTATTAAAACTTTCGAAATGGTTCTATTTTTAAAATTGCTTGACTAAACGTGGTTTTTCTTTTTTGTGACAATAGATGGCGCTAGTTATGTTTTAAATCGCGGTATTGATTGTTAAAATATGTCGTTACAACAAATTGAATTAGCGGTCATTGTATATCTGGAATGTAAAATGATCGAAACAATACAAGATTCATTATAGATTCGAACATTTACTATTTTGTTAGTTGGTTAACATTTAAGAAGAAAGTTAAAATTTATTCGGCCATTAGCGTCCGAAGCAGGATTGAACATTTGCCAGGCTATTTGTCACACCGCAAGTTCGGGGTAATTTGTCGTAGCAAGAGACAAACTTAATCGCCAAGCTCTATAGCTCCAAAGTGAAAAAAGTAAAAGAAGCAATCGCCATGACGGAGTATCCCCTGATTGTGGTATTGGTACCTTATCTAAGAATAAAACTTACATTTTCCTCATATTTTGGTTACACTGAAAGCTAGGCAATCAATTTCTTTAACGACACAAATAGCAGCTTCACACGGTAACAATCTGGTATACAGTGACAAAAAATGATACTTTGACTATAGCACAAGTATTTTGTTGTGCTATGATTCCTAATAGCTTATATGGAAATAAACACACTATTCGATTTTTAATAGTAAGATAGTTTAGTCAAAGGTGTGCGCCCGCTCTTATAAGTATCAATTTATCAAAAATCAAAAACAGAAATCAAGGATGTCACCAGCTAGACTTAAACTATATTTTAGATCTATTTTACATTTTGGTATCTAGGGATCTGCATCTAGCGACACCCCTGAAAGAAAGAATCTAATATGAACTTCAGTACAATATAATATTACACCCCTTTGTCCTTGTGTCAAAAGATTGTCGAGGGAAGAAATGATAAAATGGAGAAAACCAAGTAAGGTACAAAGTTCAAAGAAATCTTTATAATAGTAAATCACTAGTTGCCGGAAGGCAAAGCGCGAAGTGTAATGGAGCGGCAAATTACCTGTGCACAAAGTGTCAAACGAACTGGAAGGGACACATACATTATCGTGGTTATAGTAAAAATCATGAAAGGAAAATTACACGGAATTAGATGTTGAATGTAAAAGATTATGTTCTTTGTTAATTTTTTGTTAGCTACCTCATACTATCTTCCTACCATATTCCCTGAGAAGGGCCAGCACTGTATGTTTCCATACATCAGTCGTCGTATCTGAATTGAGTCCATTCTGATGCAAGATCTAATCGTTCAAATATTCCTATTTAATTTGGTAAGCCATTAGCCCTTATTCTCACGGGAGTTTTTTAACGCTCGGAGTTGGTGCTTTTTTAACGCTCTGGTACGAACAGGTAAAATTCACTATTTTTTCGTTTGTCCTGCGGCTAATGTAATGTTACGCAAAAAAGGATCATGCTATAATAGCACTGCCGATGAACAGACACATGGAAATGCATTTGTTTTACTTTCACGTTTTTTTAACGCGCGTTATAAAAGCGCCAGGACGGATCGGAGCTAACTAGTTTATGTAACACCAGATGAAAAAACAATAAAGTTAGTGAACTCATAAATATATTTCAAAGTCAACAGAATAAAAGTTTTGACAGAAAACGAAAATATTTGTCCGACCGCGGCGAGGTGTTATTCTGTTATTTTAGTTTTAATATTCAGATAACTTGGAAGATTGAAGTCTCGGCTTATTGAAGTTTTCCTTCGAGATTTTTCACAGATTTTTCTAATTTTCTTTTCTCACAACTTGTCCAGATTATTTTGAATTAACTTGTTTTGTGAAAATTAAATATCCCGTCTGTATATATAAATGTAAACAACTTGTTTATTCTACAATACTATTTTTCAAATTCAAAACCAAAACAAAATTATTTGAAAACTTTTCCTATATTGTTGAAACTAATTTTGTTGAACAGTTTTTTAATGAATTGATGATTAAATTGAAACGGATATTTTTTTTCAATTTCTTTATATTCAATAATCATTATTGGACGTTTATTTACGATACGATTTGTTACCAGTACCAGTACCAAGTTGATATCGTTCTCGTAAGGTAATACGAGTTTATAAGATTATAACATTTATGGGGACCTTTTTGCGTAGATTTTGCGTATCTTCAAAACAGGTGGAACCCTTTTCACTTCCTGTATAGTAAAGTCGTTAGGATCTTCCTACGAATCCGTTTTTGTGACAAGGGTACAGTTCGGTTTATTATAATGTAACAAAATTAAAACAGATTCGACCAACATGAAATTTATTGTTTTTGTATTAATACGAGTACACAAACTTACCCTTACTGTAACTAGCTTAAGAACTGTTCATTTTGTAGCAGATTTATTTTAAAAAAGAACAAATTCATCTTAATTGAAACATTTTTATAATAGAGAAAATAGTAAAATTTTAATGAAAATTTGCGCCATTTTCCATTAAATAAGTAATTAAAGTATAACAAC